GACCATGCACTGCGTGGCAAGGAAAAGACGGCATGGAAAGCCTTCCAGTTAGTGGTAATAAATTTTCTCGGAAACAACAGGCAGACAACTACAGGTTGTTGGTGGAAAACCTCCTCAAGGCATACAAAAACCTTGGTTGCAACATGTCACTAAAGATACATTTTTTGCACTCTCATCTAGATTTTTTTCCATCGAACTGCAGAGCAGTGAGCGATGAGCACGGCGAGCGATTTCACCAGGACATTGTAACAATGGAGAAACACTATCAGGGCAAATGGAGCCCATCAATGCTTGCAGACTATTGCTGGACAGTGACAAGAGATGCTCCATTTAATGAATACAAGAGACAAACCAAGAAGCGCTGAGTAGACACCGAATAGGACTAAAATTCGTACATAATAGTTTTTTGCCTTTTGTTTCATAATAAATTTTATTTATAGAACCCTTTTGCTGATTTTTAAAGTGTTACATAAACAGGACAGGTGAAATATTATCATGTAAAGCAACCATAAACACATGAAAAGACCTAGGTTTACAATTTATGATTAAAACTCTACTATCTACACAATAGACAGACATAAAATGTAAAAACTTAAATATCTTAGAAACAGTAGCCAATCAGTTGTTTTAATTGTCATATTTGAATTCAGCACATCAAAATATATAATAAATAGCACATTTTATCTCTGAAGCAGACGACTTCTCAAAAATTGTAGACCAGTGATATTTAAGTTTTCTTCTTACACATTTTTATATAGGAAGGTAAAGATATTCTTATGAATACATTTACAGTTATATGAATTGACAAGTACCAATACACTTTTCAACCTTAAAGAAACATTAGGTAATTTAAATTATTAACAATACCCAGGTCTGAATAAGGTATGAGTGCCTCAGGGTTTATTTTATATCAATTGGGATTAGTTCCTAATCCAATTTGCTTTCACCTTATTTCAGTTTGTGTCACTCATTTTTGGAGAAGGTGAGGAACAATACAATTTGAAAAGAAATGGAATACTGATCCAACTCTCATAAGATAAAGGGAAGATACATGTTCCTATTCTGCTCCATGGAGAAACTTATACTTAAACTGTTTTGTCATCTATAATTTCTAAAATCTCAATAATCTTTAATTATCTTATTTTACTTACATTTTAGTTACTCTGATAAACAGTGTAATGGGACAAGAGAATAAGATACTTTTACTTGCTATTGGTTTATTTTTAATAACATTTTCCTATCAGTAAGATGATTCCTATACAGTTGCTATATTTCTAAATTAGAATCCCACATCAAAATCCATAAATCCCATGCCCATTTGCAAAATCAGGGCCATCTATATATGTATTATCCTACAGCACATGGAAATCAAGGACCCAATCCTGCAAACACAAAAACGCTTCTTAGAATTTCTCACATAAATAATGATTGCAGGATCAGGTCCTAATCTTCTATATCAGTAGATATAGAAGATTATACCAAATTCACAGTCCCTTTTGGTCAATTTCACGGTCATAGAATTTTAAAAAATCATCAATATTATTATTTCAGCTATTTAAATCTGAAATTTTACAGTGTAATTGTAGGGGTCCTGACCCAAAAAGGAGTTGGTGGGGGTCACAAGGTTATTGTAGGGGGAGTTGTGGTACTGCTACCCTTACTTTTACGCTGCTGCTGGAGGCAACGCTGCCTTCAGAGCTGGATGCCCAGCTAACAGCCACCCTGTCTAGCTGCCCAGCTCTGAAGGCAGTGAAGAAGTAAGGGTGGCAATACTGAAATGCCCCTAAAATAACCTCGTGACCCCCAACTCCCTTTTTTGGGTCAGGACCCCCCCCCATTTGAGAAACGCTGGTCTCACCCATGAAATCTGTATAGCATACGATAAAAGCTCACAAAAGACCATATTTCACGGGGGGGGGGGACCATATTTCACAGGCCATGATGCGTTTTTCACAGCTGTGAATTTGGTAAGGCCCTATCAGAAACAGGGAATTCATTTGGGGTGTCCAAGGCACTGAAATTAAAAAAAAATTATGAGGCTTAGTGTTCTACATATTGTCCAGCTATCATTTCAACGAAATGTATCCTTTTCTCTTCTCCCTGACATTTTGGGCATTCCCTACCCCGCCCATCCCTTCAATGGGAAAAAGGGTTAAATGAATAATTTGGATGCAAGTTTGGTAGTGTGGGACCCCAATAATTAAATGCACTGTGACAAGTAAACCTGACCATAGTAATACAAACAACTACTTCAGAAATCATCCAGACAGAAAAATCTTTAGAGAAGTTTCCTTACAAAGGCAGTTCATAATACAAAATGCTAGACCAATTGCACTACTCATTCATGTCTTACCCTGATCGCCTTCAATCCATTAGATGTTTTATCCTCTTCAACAATAGCGATGACTTTCTGGCCAACGTTCAGTGGCACACCACTCATCACAGCATCACTTGTGAAGCAAATCAAGTCATCAATCATCCCATAATCATGGCAAAATCTTGTCACTACTCCTTGTACGGTTTTTAACTCTTTATCATCTGAAAGGGGGAAAATATGTTTAGATGCTTATATAAAAACAAAACTATTTTTTCCATGAAAATGTATAACTGTAGTAGTTATCATAAATGCCATGTAATGGAAACAATTCTCAACTGTGTTTGCAACCAAAATATTGCCACACTGAACCTGAGAAATTTATTTTCAAAGTTTAAGTTGCGAGGAATGTGAACAGTAAGCAATCAGCATAAATGATATATAAAACTGGATTCTGAAAAATAGTTCTAATAATTTAAGACAGTAGCTCTCAACCTTTCCAGTTTACTGTTCCCCATTCAGGAGTCTGATTTGTCTTGCATACCCCCAAGTTTCACCTCACTTAAAAATTACTTGCTTACAAAATCAGACATAAAAATATAAAAGTGCCACGGCACACTATTATGAAAAAATTGCTTACTTTATCAATTTTACCATAAATTATAAAATAAATTAATTGAAATATAAATATTGTACTTAGATTTCAGTCTATAGTTTATACTACTCTATATACAAATCACTGTCTGTATGAAATTTTATTTTGTAATGATTTTTCTAGCGCTTTTTATGTAGCTTATTGTAAAACTAGGCAAATATCTAGATGAGTTGATGTACCTCCTAGAATACCTCTGTGTACACACGTACCCCTGGTTGAGAACCACTGATCTAAGGTACTGCTGTAGGTCAGCAAATCTGTTTAAGATAAGGGCTGAGATTTTGTGCTACACCTCTGGAAATACAAACAGTCCTAGTGGTTTTACATTTTGAAAATCAACGGGGAGGTGGGAGGGGGGGGAAGGGAGGGAAAGGAAAAATTGCACTTTTTTGGCTGTCACCATCCTTGTGAGTTTACTCAACTGCATTGTGCTACTGTTTGAGACTTAGAAAGTGAAACTGACTAGAAATAAAAGTTAAATTGATGGTCAATTGCTCTTGGCCATTTTCACTGGCCAAGAGCAATAAATCTCAATTCATATCTCAAACAAATTTGATAACCTGTTACTAACAACACCTTAAATTATTAAAGCTACAGTATTTTAAGAATCCCAAGTTACGTATCTATGGTTTTTGCTTGCTTTCTGCATTACACTAATTTTAGACACTGAAAACAAATTTCTTAGTGCTGCACGTTTTAGTAAGCCACCTTCGTGCCCACCCTATTCGGTGCTTATCTGGAGACCCATATGGCCCAATTGTTATTTAGGAAGCCTGAGGAGCAGCTCTAAGTCAATACAGGCTCCCCAGGGCTGCCTATGCTTCTGGTGCACACCAGAATTGCTATAGCCCCAAACCCCACCTACGCAGGCACATTCCAGGCCAGGGAATATGGTGTTGGGATCCAGTGAAGGGATGCCTCCAGCAGCCCCATTGAAGAAATTCTCCTCCAATAGCTAGCAGGCTGTTTATAGCTCCTGTACAGGGATGGAGCAGCACAGAGGGGCTTGGAGAGATGGCTGGGAGAATGCCACCCATAATTTCTCAAACTGACTCTCTCTATAGAATCTAAACTCTCTCGTTTGAAGAAAGAAGAATAGTCCCACACAAATAAATTTTCTGATGCCCCAATCTACAGAGAAGATGCCTTGTAAACTAGCATTCCTGTGGTATCTTATGCAACAATAACCACAGAACACACTATTTGAAAATAGACAAGCATAAAGGTCCTCTGATAGAAGTGAATTGTACAGTTGGAATTGGAAACTTCAACACAATTATGCAACAGCCAGGAATTCTACCCAGAGTGGAGCATAAATAACCTAAACTGTGAGGAAATGTTCTCTTAGAAAGTCTCTTTAGAACCCAATACAACAGGGGTGAGCAAACTATGGCTCACGGGCCACATTCAGCCCACGGGACCGTCCTACCTGGCCTCTGAGCTCCTGGTCCGGGAGACTAGCCCACGGCCCTTCCCCTGCTGTCCCCCCTCCCCTGCAGCCTCAGCTCGCTCGCTCCACCGCCGGCGCAATGCTCTGGGCGGTGGGGCTGTGAGCTCCTGGAGCAGCGCAGCTGCAGAGCTCGGCCTGACCCGGTGCTCTGTGCTGCGTGGTGACTGTAGCGCCGCCAGCCACCGGTGCTCCAGGCAGCGCAGTAAGGGGGTAGGGGGGGTTGGATAGAGGGCAGGGGAGTTCGGGGGGGTGGGCAGGGGTCAAGGTAGTCGGGGGAAGAACAAGGGGTTGAATGGGGGCGGGGTCCCGGGGGGGCAGTCAGGAAGGGGGGGGGGTTGGATGGGGCAGCAGGGGGCTGTCAGGGGCAGCGATTCCGGTGGCAGTCAGGGGACAGGGAGAAGGGGTGGTTGAATAGGGGCAGGGGTCCCAGGGGGGCCGTCAGGAATAAGAGGAGGGGTTGGATGGGGCGGCGGGAGTCCGGGGGCAGTCAGGGGACAGGGAGTGGGGGTGTGTGGATGAGGCCATGGTCCCAGAGGGGCCGTCAGGGAACAGGGAGGGTTGGATGGAGCCAGAGTCCCAGGGGAGGAGGGGGCTGGAGGGCAGATAGGAGGTGGGGGCCGGGCCATGACCCCCTCTCCTAACCAGCCCTCCATACAATTTAGAAAACCTGATACGGCTCTCAGGCCAAAAAAGTTTGCCCGCCCCGCTATACAAAGAACAAGACAAAACCCACATACATTACATTTCTTCACATGAACTTCTAATTGGAGAAATAAACTACCGGGTTATTCTGAACAGAGGTAAACCAACATTCCAACTCTGTACATTCCAACAATACCTTTTATCTAGTACTTTGAAAACAGAAAGGAAGCTTCAGAATACCCGTGTAATGTAGGTGCTACACATTTTTATCCCAATTTCCAGATGGGGAAGCTGAGGCACCATTAGGTGCTACCTCCTAACACTAGACAAGTGACACAGCAAAGAAGGCGCCTTTGTGCTGCTGCTGCCACAGGGAGCTGATTTCCGGCAGACAGGCCAAATGTTTGTTGACCGGTATTTTGAAATAAACCAGATGAGTTACTTGGTTAAGAACAGGTCCCCGTCTCTCTGCCCCCCAGAGATCTCTCCAGGCTGGGGGCCTGTCCAGCTCAGAGCTAGGGACAGGATCTCCCTGCCCGCACCCGCAGCACAAAGCACAGCTGGCATCAATGGCACAGGCTGGAGCCACCCTCAACTCTGACCAGCCACAGGGACTACTGCTCCCACAGGGAGGCGCGTGACGCAGGCAGCTCAGGCTGGAGCATCGCGGGGAGAGGAGCTGGCCTCACAGGCCTGCCCTAGGGCCCGCTGGCCTACAGGGCTGCCCGCGGGGCTGCGGCGAGTCAGGGAGCGGTACCTGTGGCCGCCGGCCGCTTCTCTCCGAGTCCCTCCCCGTCTGCCCGTCGCCAGAAGTAGGCCAGGGCTCTGGACAGCAGCTGGAGCATCCCCAGCCCTGAGTGGGGCGCGAGCGCTGGGGCCCGCCCGCGCCACCTGCGGCCTCCAGACGCGAGGCAGGAGCCTGGAAACTTCGATGGAAGCTTCACGCCCCACACCCGCTCTACTCCCGGCTTCAGTCGCCGCTCCCCGGAGTCACGTGACGGCACGCCTCCCTCCCCCCACGTGGGCGCGGCGGCGGTTCGTCGCGGGGGAGCGAAGGGGGCTGAGAGCCTAACCTTGCGCAGGCGCAGTAGTGGGCTCTGCGCGCGGGGCTCTAACAGCTGTTCTCTGTCGCAGCCCGAGGCCCTGGTAGAAGCGGCAGCGGTGCGGGTCCCGAGGTCACATGCAGAGCAGCCCCGCCCCTCGCACACAGAGCGCTGGGCAGGAGGGTTGTTCCCTGCTGTGTTGAGCATCCAAGCTCCGCCCCCCTGCTCTGAAGGTCGGGGATGGATCCTTCCCCCTCGGGACCAGACTCCTTCACATGCCCTAGGGAGCCCACCACCTCTGAACAAGCCATTGTGGCCTCTTCCCCGGGGTGCCCCACTTCTACATGCCACGGGGGCCTGACCTGCCGGGGGGGCTGTACCCACAGTAGGAGGCCAAGCCATGGGGTGATGCACAGCAGGGGCAGGAAACCTGTGGGTGTTACCAGGCAGCATCTCTATGCTCTTGACCCATAAGGACTGTTGCTATTCGCAGGCATGAGCCAGGAACTCGAGTTTCTAATGATAACAAGCCCTAGTCGCAGGAACCTTGGCTGGTGCAGGGCCCATGATGCACCTGGAAGGGGAGGCCACAATTTACAAGGTGCTGGTCTGGCTAGCTGTCAGGGGAATGCTGTGGAGGGATGCAGAGTAGCACTAAATCCAGTGCTTCGGTCATTGGAGATGAACCCAAACCCTGTTTCCTGACATCAGACGTGGATTTATTTTGGAGATACCACAGAGCCAAAGATACCCTTGTACCCTCCTATTGGTGTGCTCCTATAACTGTCTTTCCATAATTCTGTACTGTGCTAGGGTTGCCAACTTTCTAATTGCACAAAACCAAACACCCTTGCCCAGTCCCCTGTCCCGCCCATTCCCTGAAGTTCTGCCCCTTCTCCGAGGCCCCCCTCACTCCATTCACCCTCCCTCTGTCGTTTGCTGTCCCCCACTGTCACTCACTTTCACCTTCACCGGGCTGGGGTATGGAGTTGGGGTTGGCGTGTGGGAGGGTCTCTAGCTGAGGGTGTGGGCTCTGGGGTGGGGCCAGAAATGAGGGGTTCAGGGTGCAGAAGGGGGCTCTGGGCTGGGGTTGGGGTGCGGGAGGGCATGCAGGATGTGGGTTCTGGGAGGGAGTTTGGGTGCAGAAGGAGGCTCAGGTTGGGGGCAAGGGGTTTGGGTGTAAGAGGGGGTGAGGGCTCCGACTGGGATTGTGGGCTTTGGGATGGGGACGAGGGGTTTGGGGTGCTACATAGCTGGTGCTTGGGGCAGGGGCAGCGTGCGGAGCCCCCCTGGCCGCCCCTGCGCCTAGGAGCCAGATGAGCTGGACATGCCAGCCACTTCCAGGAGCCACGCAAAACCAGTGCAGGCAGGGAGCCTGCCTTAGCCCCACTGCGCCAACGACTGGACTTTCAGCGGCCTGGTCAGTGGTGCTGACTGGAGCCAACAGGGTCCCTTTTCGACGGGGTGTTCCAGTCGAAAACCGGATGCCTGGCAACCCTATATTGTGTCTAGGATGTTTGCACCCTTATCTGCCAGTTCATGCTTTCAAGGGTGATGTACGTACCTGCTCATTTGAGCATGTCTGTCATTACAGCCACTAGAAGTGGTACATAAACACCTTGAGGGAAGATAGTCAGACATACAAATGTAGCATGTTATTATATAGATTCTTATATAGATTATTTATTCTCATGTCATCTAAATTTTACAGGATTTTATCAGAATTATTGCTTTTGCTTGTTTTGAAACTTGGCATAATTACATTTTACACCAAATATTCTTAATCTGATTTAGGAGGAAAAAATATGTATTTTTCCTTCATTATTTTTCTTTCAATCAATGACTCCAGGGGAAATGTAATTTTAGTGAATCTGCTAGTTCAGTATCTTAAGTTTCAATTATGCATTTTCCCCAGTCTTCCTTTTTTAACTGAGATTGAGTAGCGTTCTTCAAATATTTCTTACGCTGGGGCATTGGTTTGGAAGAGTAGCGCGTGTCCGTGTCTGAGAGAGATGAGGTAAAAACACTCAGAAGGACATAGAGATGGAGAAAAGCAGCCTCATGGAGAGCCAGAGAAGCCCTGGTAACATAACCCTTTGATAAAAGCTAAGAGAGAGAACTTTTGGGTAAAGTGCTGACTGAAAGAAACTTGGAACTGTGAGGAATGAAACCAGTCTCCTGTTGTTTGATTTCTAATTTGTTCAGGGAAAGAGGACTTTGTACAGTCTTTATAAATAAGCAGGATTACATCAAAGAAATACCCAATGTCATTATCAAAAAGAACAGGAGTACTTGTGGTACCTTAGAGACTAACAAATTTATTTGAGCATAAGCTTTTGTGGGCTACAGCCCACTTCATCAAATGCATTTAGTGGAAAATACAGTAGGAAGATATATATATACACAGAGAACATGAAACAATGGGTGTTACCATACACAATTGACAAGGAGATGTGAGGAACTGGGGGGGGGGGGAGGGGAGAATAAGCATGGGGAAATAGTTTTCTTAAAAAAGTTTATGCACTTCAGGGTGTTTAACAAATATATATTATTTCAGAAACTCTGTGTCTTTCCCCTCCCCCCCTACAGTTCCTCACATCTCCTTGTCAGTTGCTGGAAATGGGTCATTTTCATTACCACTACAAACAGTCCTTTTTCTCTCCCACTGATAATAGCTCACCTTAACTGATCACTCTCCTTATAGTGTGTATGGTAACACCCATTGTTTCATGTTCTCTGTGTATATATATCTCTTCCTACTGTATTTTCCACTCCATGCATCCGATGAAGTGGGCTATAGCCCACGAAAGCTTATGCTCAAATAAATTTGTTAGTCTCTAAGGTGCCACAAGTACTCCTGTTCTTTTTGCGGATACAGACTAACATGCTGCTACTCTGAAAAATGTCATTATGAGTTTCTCTTACTAACGGAAGCAACCTGCCAGTCCCATAATATTTTATTGAGGATCACACTATGCAATTATTATCTATTTTATCATTGGAGAAAGACACAGATGGTAGAAATATTTGCATAGTGTTCTTCCATGAACAAAAAGGAACATAGGATTAATTATTTAGGGCCAATCTGTGCTAAGCTACATAGTGTATCTTCAACATAAACTACAGTCATCTATGATACATGATGAATTGCTAAGTCTTTAGTCTGTTCAAAACAATTGTCAAATTTTAATTATTTGATTTTTTTTGTAATAGTGGCTGATATTCACCTTTTTTGTTGAAGAATTTAATGTTTAATATTAGTACATATTGAAAAATGATGGCTTTTCTGAAGTTTTTGAAGCATACTCTGAAAGGTGCTGTTTTTTCAATATACTGCAGTTTGAACTGTTTATTGGTTACAGTGCAGTTTTAAGTGTGTACAAAAGACCCTCTAATTGCTGTAGCTGTCATGATGCCAATATCTTGAGGGTAGATGCATTCCTGTATTTTTTCATTTCCTAATAAGCAGAAAGAAGGGATTCAGTTGGACCATGACTATTGCATGTTACTGTTGCCTACTAGAATGTTAATTGTATTGTTTGACTAAAACTATGTTCTGTAAGGCTCAGTGCCAATATGAGTCAAATGTGCAAAGTTTATCTGAACATTCTGAGAAAACCAAGATTTAGTCATCAAAATATATTCACAAAAAATTCATTGGAAAGAGGCAAAGCATTCTTCTTGGTAGACACAGAGTGCATAAACTTTTTCTCTTATAAACTTTATTTAAGAAAACACTATACTTTCAAGTGTTCTCTCTCCTGTGAAATAAGAACTAAATTATTTGGAAATAATTCTATGTAAAACATTATTATTGGATATGGTAACATATATAACTTTGTTAAATTTATTATATATATTTTATTTAAATGTCTGTTATAATGTAGCACACTCATTTGGAAAAACATAAAGTTTAAATGTTTGCGTACCTATGGGTTTGATTTGGAATCAGGCTTATGAGAATATAGTACAGTCATCTTCCAGTGTATTCTCTTCATTAAAATTCAGGAGGCATTACTCTGTTCCCTGGCTTAACTGCAGTTTTTGCTGTGCTTTTGTTCCGTATGAATAGATGTTGTTGAAAGCCAAAGTGGAAGAGCAAACTTTTCAACGGCAGAATGAATCACTGAGCAGTGAGAATATCACAAAGTGTACAGACAATTCTACTCACAAAACTATTTTAAACTGACAACTAACTTTTCAATTTAAGGTAAGCATGCAGGTTTTTAACTGTTGAAAACTGTACAATAAATTATAATAATCTACCTATTATTGAAGGCATCAGAATGGGTTGGAAAAGAGAGAAGTGAACAAAAAATTAGCTAAATTTACAAACCTAATGATTGTTACTAGATACCATTTTAAAAAAGCAATAAAATATGTTATAACTGAAGTATTCTGAATAAATGAGTCCATCTGAATCATTTTAAAGTCTAAATATAATTTTTAGATCTTTGAGGATGATGCTTAAAGCCAAATGAAAATTAGGATATAAACATGTTTAGAAAAACTTCACAGTCTCTTAATAATGTTTAAAAGAAAAAAAAACTTTAGTTTTAGATATATCTACAAAGTTTACACTTAAATCACTAAATGCTAATTTTCTTTTGCTCTAAATCTTCTTCTAAAGATCTTTCTTAAATCCAATTTTATGAAATTAACTACAGTGTAAACAAAAAAGTGTTTTATACATAAACACTTTTATTTACACTACAGTATAGTATTGTTGACTATGGATATAGGAAATTCTCTTCTTGTATAGAGCTTAATTAGTTAATGTTTGTACAGTACTTTGAAGATGTAAACTGCTAAGCACTAATTATTATTATTATTATTAGTTTATTATTTAATTTATTAAATTCTAACTGGATGAAGAGCAGTTTTAGTGCTCATGTGTCTAAAGATGTACAAAAACAAGACCACACTTTTTGGTATCTGCTTTTAGTTTGCATTTTCATGGTTTTTAAAAAATTTACCTCTATAAAGTGTTATGACCAGGGAAGAAGGTTACAGAGAAGAATTTAATTATGACAGGATGCCAA